GTCAAGGGTAATTGTGTGTCAGGTGTCGACGCGGAGTCAGAGATCTGCCCGGAGGAGTACACCGTCCAGCTTGTCTCGATGATTGCCGCAGGGTACTCTGGGAAGCTGTCCGGGGAGGGGGCACGCGGCACAGCTGTAGGGGGGCGCGGCGCCTCGTGAGGTTGATCTCCGAGGTAGGGCAGGTTGGCAGAGGGTGCAGCTGCCTCGTCGTTGTGCTTCTCAATAGCCCCTTGCTCGGTAGTGGCGAGGGTAGAATGAGAGGTAGCAGTGAGGTCAGACTCAATTCTTCCAAACGCAGCAATGAGCTTGGCGCTCCAGTCCGCCCAGGACTGCTGCCGCACGCCTTCGTACCTGTGCCACGCAGCAGCAGGATTTTGAAGGCGGTCTAAGGCCACGCACCACTTCTGATTGTCGCTCCATCCCTTGCGAGCTCCGAGAGCATTGATGGTAGCCACCCAATCGACGGCATCGTCCTGGAAGCCGCGAAACTCGGGTAGCTCGGAGGCAGCCGGTGGTGGTGTCACGGCAGGCGAAGCTCCAGAAAATAGCGACGCCACACAGCCAAGTTGGTGTGAAAGAGCCGCGAGAGTATACTGGAGCTTGCTGCGGCTCTCGGGGGAAGTTGTTGAATGGTCTTGCGAGGCGGCCGCGGCCAACGCCTCATCGATAATGTGAAGTCCCGGCAAGGCAGCAGGGAATATCGCAGAACTCGACGCTGTCAGGGCGCCGACCTCGAGGCGGAGTCGCGCAATGGTGCGCGAAAGCTCGGTGGCACTCTCGGGCGGCCCACATGCGGAGCCAGTGGGGACGTGTTCCCCGATCAGCGTACTCACTGCTGTGGTACCCTCGGCCGAGGGAGCTTGAACAGCACCCCTGAGCGGCTGAGGTGCCGATGAAGCACTGAGCAGGACGTTGTCGCAGTGGGAAGCGTGAACGGCATTCCCGGTCAACGACAGGCCATGTACTGTCGTGGTGGGGCCGGGGCAAGCCTGCCCAGGAGCCATCGAGAAGGCCTGGACGCCGTCCCCGAATGGCGGCACAGGTGCTCCCGGCTGCAGGAGGGCTGTCGGCTCCATTATCGAGGAAGCGTGAACAGCGTTTTTACGATGAGAGAACCACGCTGCCGATGATCCACGAGGGTACGGACAGGTGGCTTGTGCCGCAGGGTTCACTTGTCGACCTGTGCTCACGGCACAATCCGTGGCGAAGGACGCGTAGACGGTGTCCCTTTTCATGAAGAAATACCGGTGATGGGTATACTAAAGCCGCCGAGGAGGCCTTGGCGCCATCCCCGAACGGTGGTGGCAGTGGCGGCAGGTGAACAGCTGCTGAGGAGGCCTTGACGCCGTCCCCAAGCGACGCTTACCGCATCTGCACGTCGGCGGGCGTCCTGGATGACGAAGCCGGGACGTATGACGTCTTCTTCGTCGACTGCGCCATTGTAACGACGAGAGAAATAAGACACAACGCCTTTGCTGCAGGCCGGCTGTTCTTATTCTGCTTCGTCTTCGTCCTCCTAGCATGCGAGTCTGTGCCAGAGAGAGTTCCAGTTTCGGTTTTCGTCATTACACTATATATATATATATATATATATATATATATATATATAGGTAGACCAAATCACGCGAACCTGGATAGAATGAGAAATAGGAAATAAAGACTTTCGCTGGTTCGGCACTGTATATTTTCACTTTTCTACTGGTAGACCAGACTTTGTAATATTGATTTTGATTGATTTGTGGGGTTTACCGTCGCAAAACCACCATATGATTATGAGAGACGCCGTAGTGGAGGGCTCCGGAAATTTCGACAACCTGGGGTTCTTTAACGTGCACCCAAATCTGAGTACACGGGGCTACACCATTTCCGCCTCCATCGGAAATGCAGCCGCCACAGCGACTTTGTAAAATTAACACGTACAATGAGGTAGGTTTCCTTATAGGCACGCCTAAAGGAGATCTGTATATGTTGGTGGGAGTTATCGATATCAAGATTGACAAACAAACACAGTCACTCCCATGCAACATATATTCATGCACGCGCATTCGTTACTCGTGGGAGTAAATTCAGATTACGAACAGTAAGATGGATTACACACACAGTTGATATGAAATTACACAGTAGTGATGTGGCAGTAATATTAGATTGCACGTCACATTGAGGCAAAAAAAGCGGGGGTGGAGATGATGGAACATATACGCTCAACCTAACTTTTTGTAGTAACGTAGCCACGTGCTAGCATTGCGCTGCAAACAGTTTGAGATCGCAAACAGTAAATCGGAACACACTACTAAGATCTTACCTTCAGACTGTTCTTTTTTTTTTTAACTTCCCCTCAACCGCCCTTCAAAGTCGTTAAGGTTAATACAGCAAGACGCTCAAAAACAAGTTGGAAGAAAAATAAAATACACAGCGCAGACACTAATCATGATACAAAGCAGTGACGCACGTAGTCTGGTACAATGGATATGCCAGGTAATTGCTGATTATCAAAGTAACTTTACAGGAAACATGCACGATATTAGAACAGAAGCGGCCTATCCTAAGGAAGACCAGATTATGACTGATTGTCTTTAGTGGGAACGCTCGTAAATGTGCCTGCGCTTTCGTTAATACCAATTAAGACGATGTTAAACATAAAGATTAGATAAGCCTCGCGGGCCTCCCGATCGTGATGTGAACGAAAACCTGACTCAAGTATAGTGGCTCGAATATTTTAAAAACAATGTCCCGGTAACCGAATGTGTTTTGATAATGATCGGCTAGGAAGCTTATTGGCGTGTCATCTATGGTTATTGATGCGCAATCGAGATGAAGTTTCCGTGTGACCAATGCACTGTTCTTTACAGACGCTATATTCAAGCATATATGCAACGTTAGAACTATCACAATTAGACGAACCCGGAATGTTAAGGGTGAAGTCTGAAAACGTGCTAATGGCTCTCTGTGTCATTTGCGTATGTGCGCACACTTTGCGACGTGCTTTGTTGCAAGGTGCACAGCCAGTTGTTTTGTCCTCCTTTACTTGTGATGACGTTAATAAATACCAAGGATTCTTAGACTGAGTATACCACGCGAGGTGGTTCAGGGAAAATACTTTTTAGACGGTCACTTTGCACGAGGATATTATAATGGCGTTTTAATATGGAATGTACCTTTGGTGCCGAGGCTGAGTGCGTTAGTACAAGATTGGTGCTATTATGTTTTCTGGCCAAACGCTTTCCGTTCAGAATTTCCGCTCTATCTATAGCTTCATCAATTAAAGCTGACGGATATTGTCGCTTTGTGAAAGAAGTTTTAAGTTGTTCGCAATTAGCAATGAAATCTTCGCGGTTGGATCACAATCATTTAAAGCGGTGGGCCTGACTGCAAGGAGTCACGGTCCTGCAATGTCGTACACGACTGCTCTTGAAATATAGAAGCGGGTTTTCATCAGTAGGTTTGCGGTATAGTTTAGTAAGCAATTTTCCTTAGCATGTCGACACAGTGACGTCAAGAAAGTTTACTGAGAGCGACGAGTAATTATGCGACAGCTTGATTGAAGGTTGAAACTTAATAAACGCATCCATAAATTTGAAGAGGCTTTTCTCCCTGTTGGTCCAAATCAAGAAGATATCATCAATGAATCGCTTATAAAAGGAAGACTTTATATCAGTGCTAGATAAAAATCATTCTCCAAAATACCCATAAATATATTAGCATAATTTGGGCCTATTCGAGTTCTCAAAGAAGTACCGCTAAAGTGAATTTAATGGCTATTATTGAATTCGAAGTTATTAAGTTTAGGAATAAGCTTCAGCAGCAATACCAGGGTTTCTTTATCTACAGAATTTTCAGAACGACCATCTTTGTACACTTTAAGGATTGCTGAAATCCCATCGGCGTGCGGTATGTTTGTGTAAAGTGAGGTGACGCCGAGGGTTACGAGGAGTGAATTATCTGGAATGGTAATGTTTAATATATTTTGGAGAAAACTATTGGTGTCCTTTACGAATGACGGAAAGTACCAGGAATTTCGTTGATAAGGGAGTCTACATAGCGTGAAAGGTTTTCCGTTATAGTGTTCACACCGAACGGGTGGCCTGGGTTACCTTGTTTGTGAATCTTTGGTAGCAAGTAAAGCCTACCAGCTACGGGACTGAGTGGTATGAGAGACCTAACAAATTTTTCGTTAAATTTTTTTCTGCTTTAGTGGTTTTATGAGCTGAACTATCAAAATGGTCCTAAAGTTATCAGTTGGATCGCTAGGGAGGGGTTTATAAAAAGTGGTATCCGAGAGTTGTCTGGTCGCTACCATGATATAATCACTCTTATTAAGAACAACAATCGCTCATCTCTTATCCGCGGGTTTTATGACGACATCTTGATTGTTAGGAAGTTTTTCAAGCGCTGTTTTTATTGTCCTTCGTCTTGTTCTGTCGGTAACTAACACGGGTTACCAAATCATACCAAATATACAAATCTAGACATTTATCGCGTTGTGACTGTGGGGTCCAGTGCTTGTATGACGGCATAAGTAGTTTAGCATCACTAAGATTCTCACGGTTATAGAAGTACTCTTTCAGGCGCATGGTTCAAACAAAACTGTCTCGGTGATTTAAAAGCTGAAACTCATTGAATCTACCAGAGGCTGGGCAAAAGGTCTGTATTCTCTATGATATATATATATATATATATATATATATATATATATATATGTATAAGTGAAATCTTGCTTCACTCTTAACAAGAATGCACATGCATTTCGCATAATGTAGTTCTTCGAGCTTTGAGCAATCATAGGTTCCAAACACCTGTTTTTACCAAAATGAACATGGATGGCTAAGCAACAAGGCGAGGAACACCACTGAATTATCAAAAGGACGTACAAAAAAGGCACTTTGCTGTCGGTGCGACGAATGAACAAAGGCTGCTCAATAGGCTTTTGTTCGTTCATGCACGTCCGCTATCATGTAAGGCGATGACCTGATTACGCGTATCGCATCAGATGTTTCACTCACCTGTCAATGCAGATGGCCATTAGGGTGAACACGCTGGCTGCCACAGACACGATGGCAATGAAGTTGGAGACCTTGCAATAAGCTGTTCCGAAAGGCCAGTCCCCGTTTAGCATGTAAATAAAGTTGAAAATGACGTTCAACGTTGACACCATCGTGTCCGCTAAGCTCAAATTGACAATGAAGTAGTTTGTGACCGTTCGCATGCGTTTGTGTGCCAGCACTATCCAGATAACGATCAGGTTGCCGCCTGTGGCCACGAGAACCATGCTCCCGAACAGCAAAGTCCAGGCTGCCTGGCCCCACCACGGCAGAATGTACATGTTCTCTGTCATGATGTCTTCTGAGCTGAGGTTGACAAGAGAGACACCTTCGGCTCCCGTGCCATTGCTGCCGAAGACACTGTCGTTGAGGTACAGATCCATGGTCTAGGGCATGCCGGGTTTGGAGGTCTTCTATACGTGCGTGCGAGCTAGCGGCGCTCTGACGTGTATCGGAAGCTATCACCTGCTCAAAGAGTTACTGGACGTGTTTCACACAGGATCAGCCGCAAAAACCACTTCTTGATGCTCAGCACATATAGAAGAACATATTTTAGGAAATAGCTGTTATCTAATTGTGCAGTGATTCTCACAGCACAGAGAGTGACAAACGGAACAAGCTACCCTGAGTTTGTCCAGTTCAATCAACCGAGGCGAACTAAAGAAAGCGCGAACAAAAAAAAAAAAGCCGAAACGTTAGGGTTTCTTGGCTCTGTTTTCTTGTATCACATTCAGGTGCTCCCGTATTTCGTGGCCATTCTAATTGGGCCCTCGACAATACTGCAGCAGGGTGACATAAATTACACACTACGCACAAGCAGAAGGCGGACGGTGGATCGGGGGCCACAAGAGAGGTAGTGCTGAAAACGTTTGTTGGTCAGTCCTTCAGGTAAAACATCTCGGACATGCCCTCCTGCGTAGAAGACGTCTACAAATGGAGAGAACAGTTTGTTTCGGGCACAACACGACGAAGACAAGCGGTTAGTCTTGAGCACGAACCGGTGGTCCCGGAGTGCTGGCGGCGATTGACAGCTTGTCAGGCCGTGACCTCATTGCAGCTGTTGTCCCAATGCGGTACCGGCGGAAGTGCGGAACTGCTCTGGTGTCGCAGTCTTTGCGGTCGCGTCAGACCGTGTCGACACAGGTCGCAGAAGTGCGGCGCGACGCCTGCGCGAGCCGCTGCTTGGGCGGCGCTTGGACTCGACTGCGATCTTGAGGGACGGGAAGCGGGCAATAATCTGGCAGCTTCCCGGCTTCCGGTCGGTGTCCTCCGCGGCCCTATTAATTCGACCGCAGGCTGCAATCTGGGCGCCGTTGTGTCGCACTCACTCGGGTTCCCACTTCCTCGGCCGCTGAGTCAAGCAAGTCACGCCGACCGCCGAGGAGTGGCGCCGGATGGGGCTTCGCTATCAGTCTGGGTCAAGGCTCGATGCAAAACCATGGGTCTCTGGGTCAACCTGCAGGCCAGGTTCACGGTGCGGAACCTGAAAATAAGTGAAAATGGCCACCAGGTCACTAAAAGCGCAGTTGAGATGATTCAGGCAGCTGCCTGAATACCTAGTATGTATGTTGTTGAATTAAAAGGTGTGAATGGCAGTTGGCCTAAAAGCCTTGAACGGGATCGCGTCACAAACATATCTTCATTTTGTGCGTTGCCCACGATCAATAAGTTTCAACTCACTCTGCTTTCGGTTCTACTACAAATACAGAATCGCGAAAATCTAAAATTGAGGAGGGGGCATTTGTGACAGCAGGTGAACCTGACCTTGCTGGAATCGCAGGCATTTTTTTTCGCACAAGATGTTCACAATATTTAAGCGTATACATATATTATTGTTGCTACATGCATGCACAGTATGAAGCTCTATACTGGTTGTTCTAGATGTTTTGTTAAGCAATATAACTCAACAACCTAATGTACGTCCTTTCAGTGCTGTATAGTAAAGCGATAGTTGCGGTGATGTTTGAGCTATCACCAGCGTTACGCTTCAAGGAATATTCTGTCAGTAACCTATGTGGTAAGCCCTTTTTTCAGTGTGCTTTCCTGGTCTGCTCTCACATGCCATTCGCCACGGCAAGCTTGCTAAGCGTGAAGTTATACTCTAAATTGCATTGTAAGTCGAGAAGCTTGCCTACTGCAGACAGCAATGCAGCAGACGTTTTCCACGATCACCCATTTATCCTCTGTTTGAAATGAGACACGGAATTCATGAAGTGAATGCATTAAACGAAAATACTACAGTGAGAAATTTCTTGTTGATTTATTGAAATGTCCATACCAATCACTGCATTCCTCGACAACTTATTATATTGGACTGAAATTTAGATAGCTGATGGCAGAAAACAGCAAACAACTTTACTGAAAAGTAAATTTACAAACACAGACGTTGGGTTCACGTTATTTTGATCATGTATTTTTTTATACGTTATTTTGCAGAAGGCACTGAGCGCATTCGGTACGCTGGGTAATATACGCTACAAACAAATCAGGAGACTACGAGAGTCAGTGCGAAGAAATGTGGTTGTACTTGTGATTGCTGGTCATGTGTAGCACCGTATACATGCCACGAGTTTTGGTAGAATTCCAAGAGAACTAATAAATACGGTGTTAATGTCGCAGCATGCCACCACATGCTGCGCTTAGATTGCCGTCTTGTTGGAGTAGCAAATATCTGATCACGGGGTTTCTAAAGACGAATCTTTTCCTTCGGCAGACGTTGTGTCCATTAATGAAGACGCTTACAAGTTTTCTTCATGCCTATTCTGCTCTGCCTCTGCTCGTAGAACGGAGTCGGCAGCCTCGGCAACAATGCCTAGTATAGAATGCAGACCGACAGCCAATCAAGCTGCATTCACCGCTCCTCTTCCGCTGGACTAGCGGAATTTCCTCAAGTCGCTGCAGGTTTCGTCGTTTCCTGGGGCAGGCAGCTTGTGCTGAGGCACCCTGAGGCATTCACATAGATTTCGTGAAGCCTTTTCTTATTTGTCTCAAGCTGACCAGCTACGTGATAAGAATATCGACCACCCACCAGTTGCGTTCCGTTTTTTTTTTCGTGGTTCGCTGCCGCGGCCATCACGAGCGCAGAATAGGTGTATGGCTCACGAAGAAGAAATGCGCGTGCTCGGAATGGCACAAAGGAAGGGCCGAGATGTCATTACAAGCATCAGACAAAATGACAAGGCGCTGACGTACGCCAGTGAACTCGTCCTAGGCTCTTCTCACGGTGTTGCTCTAAACAGTGTCAAATTTTCTTTATCTACGTAACACGTAGGTGGAAGTTCTCGTTTTTTTCTTCTGCTAATTGCAATACAGCAAAATACGAGGTGACGACGTTTCGTTGGACGTCACTGTCGATAAGCATTAGTGTCTTATTGACACTAATGCTTTCAGTATGGCAAACGGGTTATACGCTTCACTTGGCTTCACTTGGCTTCAGTTTCCTTTTTTTTTCTGATTTATATTTCCACCACGAAAAGCCGTAGTTGGCAGCAAACAAAAGTAAGTGAAACGTGTATTAGCGCATAAGTGCCCACCCGGGTCAAGATATTAGAACAAAGGCTACATAATATCACTTTTTAAGTAGCTTACAAGCCTCATGTTACGTAGATATGTAATGAAGTAAGGAAGTGTAATTTTAAGAGCTGGTTTTTTTGAACACAGCATTATAGAAAACTTACAGGCAATAATACCAAGAAAAGTTTAGCGGATGGTATTAGTGGCACCTGTAATGTAAATATGAAAAAAAAGAAAAAGGGGAGGAAAAAGTCACTTGCCACCGGCAAGTACCAAACCTGCAACCACACTAGCCGTAAATGCTACTGGTGGTGCTGACTGACAGTTCCACCTTCTAATTCCCATACATACCCTATAAAGTGGACGGAGCGATGACCACCACCGAAGCTGAGTTGGTGGAAGAATGTGTTATTTGAAAGTCGCAGGTTCGCTCTCAGCGGTTGGCAAGCCATCTTTCCGTCTACATTTTTTTCTCAACACTGACAATACAAATTTTACTAATAACATCCCCTATGCTTTACATGGCACCATTTTCATTTAGTTCTCCTAAGTATGCTACGAGAACCAAATAACTCCACACAGAGTTCACTAAACTTAATTAAAGGGACACTAAAGTAAGTAAAAGTTTACGTCAGAGTTAAAGCTCAATGTATGACAACAACTGTACCCTACTTACCGAGAAATTAAAGTAAATGCACAAGAGCACAAGCGCCGCAGTAGGAAATTTTCAAAATGATCTCGTTGACATCAGAAGGACCACTTATAATTAATCACTAGTAATCGATCTAACTGTACTAAATAGAGAACCTTCCGTACATCAAGAGACGCAATAAAATGGTGCTTGTTCATTTCTGTTAGATCTATGGAAAGAAGAACCGCTGGACGTTGCTAAGGAGAATGGCGCAAGTGGCTCAAAAACTCAATTTTCGCGTGGTTACACAGAACAGGTGGTGCCATCTGGTGGCACACAGTTGAAATAAAAACAAACGCAATCTCCAAGCCAATGGCGGGAAGTTGATTGTTTTGAAATGAGAGCGCACTACTTAGACACGGACAGAAAGACAGGGACAAGCGCTTACTACCAACCACGTCTAAGTAGTGAGCTCTCATTTCAAAACAATCACGGATCACTAACTCGCCCAATCAACCATATTAAGAAATCGATCAATGGCCGTTGTTGCTGCTGTGGCTCCCGCTGCTTTTGGTTTGCTACTACAAGGGCAGTAAAGCCGGGCAACTTTGTGCACGGCAACAGTGACGTGGTTTAGTCCGATTGGTCCGCTTCTTGAGGCGGGTACTTGAAGTGCACTAACCCGATGCGGACCACTAAAACATGATTTTAATTCAAAATAGGCCCTTCCTTTGCACAAAAGTAACACTACGAGGTTTCTGGACCGCTTTTTAAACAATCAACGTCTACTTAAATGTTGCCTTTATAGTGTCCATTTAAATGGAGAACCAAGTAAATACAGAAATAGTTTTGTGGTATTTATGTTCTAATGGCGATGGTCATCGCATGTATGTATAGTGATTCTTAAAAAAGCTACACTACACAATCCAAGAGCGCTTGTAAGCGTAGCGTTAACCCTATATGCCGCCTCAAGGGCTAAATAAATGTCTGTACCTGTGCACTACCACCTCCTGCTACGCTTAAGGGGTGCGATTTGGTACAATAGCATGTTGTTATAATAAGAATATATCACGAAAGTATAATCATCTGCTTGCTTTGATATTTGTTGACGAGAACAAGCGAAATCTGTGACAGACGTGTGCAGGCAAGCGCAGAACGGCGTACTGGAACATTCCACGAAGCGGACTGTACTGTTCAGCCACTGCTATGTCTTTGTGGTGGCTTGACTCTGAAGAAATTTCAATAGAGACACTAACTGTCTAGCTCGCCCTTTACTGAGGGTGAAGTTGGGTAGGCCACGCCTCCTGGGCAGACAACAGACTAGGAAATACTGTGGAGGCCTGGTACACCATTTGACCAATCTTTCGAGAGACGGTGCCAACAACGTAAATTTCAATCGGGACGTCAAGTAGGCTTTCCCAGAGCTGACTCGAGAGTGCGTTGCGTGCGCAACTGCTGCAGCCTGGCAGCTGGTATGGATAATGACATGAACCGCTATACATTCACTGCGTGATACGGCTTAGTCAGCGTAGCACTCAAATGATATGTCACTGCCATGATTATTTTTGCAGCGACATAGAAAAAACGTGCCCTGTCTTTTGTTATTGCATCTCCAGGGGTGACAAAGTCAGTCGATGACCACCTGCTTGGGATGGATGGTGGGATGAACTTTATTTGGTCCTTTGGAACACGCTTTAGCACGTTGCGGGCTGCTAACACGTCGGAAAAGAAACACCAGGCCTCTCTCCTGCACCGGGGACCCGTTGTACTACCTATAACTGTTGTTCGAGTCCGGAGTTTGTAATAGCACACCCCAATTTGGACGGCGTAATGACCTCCCCACAGCGTAACATGGTGCACCGCGAGAGCATATGTTCCAAGTGTGCTATATCATCGCAGAATGAACAAGTATTAGTTGGCTGTATTTCGAGATAAATCTTGTTCAATAGCGCGGTGTTAGGGTATGCTCCGACCTGAAGAAGCCTGGGTCTCAGAGCCTGAGGTCGGCTAAGGTTTCTGTGTGGTGGAAGGTATTGTCTCCACGCCAGGTAAAATGTTTTGTTAGTTCGTTATACGAGACTGAATATTTACGGTTCTTCAAAACATCAGCGCCACACCTTCCGACAACTATGCGGTTTAATAGTTCTCGCGCAGCTATGCATGCTGACTCGTTGAGATTGGACGGGGCTTCTTCAACGCGTCCCAAGTGAGCTGGGAATCAAATGAGTGTGTGTGGTTCGATATCTTTCTCCCGAAGAATTCGCAAAGCTGGTTCCGATATTGTTTC